TGTTTTGTTTCTAGACTTGACTAAGCATGCTTGTTAGAGAAGAGGGAATGATTCAACAAGCATATCCAGTTGACTTTCGACTCATTCCATAAGTTTATCTCAAGTACAGAACATCTTTACCAAGAAGGCAGAATAGTTCCGTGAGAAATTATCTCATAAACCAGTCATACTTGTTTTCTACTGAAAATGAGACTTTAAGTGCAGAGGTGCATTTGCCGAGGGATATATATGGATCAAATGTGAATGGTTTGCCGCTTCTTGCAAATAATGAAGGCAAGTATAATGTTAACTGATGCAGCTTATTTACACCATCCATCCTTGCAGACATGAGATAGAGATAGAGATAGAGATAGAGGATAGACATACACACGAGAGAGAGCACAAACTCACATACTTTGAAGGGAATGGTACAGTACCTACTTTTCCTCTATGTTGAATACTTGCTAGGTCTTCGTTGCTTATTTCATCAAGATCTGGCCATTTATTTAAATCAAAGTTTCTTGTCACACTTCCACTGTTAGATGACTCATTAACTGGACATTGAAGACTTACTTGGTAAAGAAGGAATATGCAGTTGCTTCATCAACTTTAAATTAAGATCAAGTTCCACATTTATACTATCATGTGATCAAGATTTTAATAAACTACGCAAACCACCATCCTCAAAATTCCTTTCATCTGCCACATTTAAGTCAAAATCTAATGGAGGGAAACTTTGTTCGATACAAGTGACATGAACAAAAGGAATATCATTAGTAGTTGACCTTATTTGATACCATTAAAGCAGGTGACTTTTATAAATATCTACTTAGTTCTCCAAAATTGGTGAATCCTTTTAAACTAGTATACCCGTACATATTGCCTTCTCCACAGTGTTTTGTTTCCCATTATCCATGCCAATGTTGCACAAACCAATGCATGAAGTAAAGCCAACAAAATTCAACAGACTTATCACCTTCATTAGGCCTATTTCCATCACCAATTTTTCCCTTATGGACATGCTGCAGCTATTCACCTAACACAAGCAAACTCAGATTGTACAAACCAACCAAGACAACCTATTTTGTCATCACCATTACCAAGATGGATAAGTTGTACCTTCACTGTGTAAAAGGTCAAACTTTTAAGATGTTAGGAAGTCAATGCAATAACAAAATGCAGTGACAACTTTGGTCCTCCCAATTAGGTAACAATCCAACAAAGTCACAGACACACCCCACACAGAGAGTGAGTGAGATTCAAACATAGAGAGATAAAGCAAAAAATAAAACACTCATCTAAACACAGAGACAAGGATAAAGCACATACAGAAAAAGACAAACACAGAGAGAAAAATAAAGCACACCAAGACAATGAGAGACATACATAGAGAGAGAGACAAGCACAAACACATCACATGCAAAGAGACAAACATAAACACCGAGCACACACATAGAGACACAAATACACAAAGCCATATAAACACACACAAACAAAGACAAAGACACCAAGCACACATATAAATAGAACATAGCCATACACACAGAGATAGAGCCCAAACTCGCACACTTTAAAGGGAAGGAATAAAAGGGAACTTACACAAAGCTTGGTCTTGATCAAGTCTATGGGGAAAGTTGTGGTCTCCGCCACCATAGCTAAGAGTGATGTTAGAAAAACATTTGTGAGAGCAGTATCAACTCCTCCATGTTGATAGCCATTTCACAGGTGCATTCAAGAAAGACTTAACTCACCACAAGGCTGTTCAAGGAAACCAGGAACCACTGAAAGTTATGTGCCAAATGATATCTTTTGGCTGCAATAATCTCTTCAAATTGAGAAGTCTAACACCGATCAAAAACCCAACTGCCAACAAATTTTATTAGGAATATAGAGTTTATATACCTAATTCTTATTTGTCAAGTTTGTATGCTCTTGAATGAACAAAATATAAAAATAATACCATCTCTTTTTATGTTGATGAATAAAAAATATTCTCTCCCTGAATTAAGGGACAATTATAACATACAAATTGAGTAAAGATAATTCATGGACATCTAAAACAACACTGCTGATTGGCAAGAAATGCACACATAAACATAAACACAAGGACATTGATAGAGATACACACACATAGAATACATACACAAAGCAAACACAAACATAGAGACAATGAACACACACAAACACAAGCACAAAGAATGAGAGATACACACATAGAGACACGACTCACCTCCCATAAATGAGATAGAAGTGGCAGGACAATCAACGTTGAATAAGAATTGCCTGGAAACCATGCCAAAAAACTACTCATTAAATAAAGGCAACCAATATGTTTAATGTTTATCATGTGCCGTTAAAACTACTCATTAAATAAAGGCAACCAATATGTTTAATGTTTATCATGTGCCGTTAAAACTACTCATTAAATAAAGGCAACCAATATGTTTAATGTTTATCATGTGCCGTTAAAACTACTCATTAAATAAAGGCAACCAATATGTTTAATGTTTATCATGTGCCGTTAAAACTACTCATTAAATAAAGGCAACCAATATGTTTAATGTTTATCATGTGCCGTTAAAACTACTCATTAAATAAAGGCAACCAATATGTTTAATGTTTATCATGTGCCGTTAAAACTACTCATTAAATAAAGGCAACCAATATGTTTAATGTTTATCATGTGCCGTTAAAACTACTCATTAAATAAGGGCTACAATAATTTTTAAATTCAGGGACATGGACAACTTGTCAGGATTCATATACTCCAAATGTTCTCATGATGAATAAAAAATTCATCAATTAAACAACCACATTTTTTGACATCAAGTCAGAGATAACCTTAAAAAGTTTATAATATCATATGCATCATATGTCGATCAAAGTGTCCATACACAAAGGCAACCAAGATATTTAATGTTTATCATGTGCCGATCAAACTACTCATTAAATAAGGGCTACATAAATTTTGAAATTCAGGGACATGGACAACTTTTTAGGATTCATATATCCCACATGTTCTCGTGATGAATAAAAAACTCATCAATTAAACTAGCACATTTTTCGACATCAGGTAAGGGATAACCTTGAAAAGTTTATAATCACATATGCATCATATGTGGATCAAAGTATCCATACATAAAGGCAACTAAGATATTTAATGTTTATCATGTGCCGATCAAACTTCTCATTAAATAAGGGCTACATAAATTTTTAAATTCAGAGAATGGAAAATTGTTTAGGATTCATATACCCCACCTGTTCTCGTGATGAATGAAAAACTCATCAATTAAACAACCATATTTTTCGACATCAGGTAAGAGATAACCTTAAAATGTTTATAATCTCATATGCATCATATGTCGATCAAAGTATTCATATAAAGGCAACCAAATATGTTTAATGTTTATCATGTGCCGATCAAACTTCTCGTTAAATAAGGGCAACATAAATTTTTAAATTCAGGAACATAGACAACTTGTCAGGATTCATATACCCCAAATGTTCTCGTGATGAATACAAAACTCATCAATTAAACAACCACATTTTTCGACATCAGGTAAGAGATAACCTTAAAAAGTTTATAATCTCATATGTATCATATGTCGATCAAAGTATCCATACATAAAGCAAACCATGTTGTTTAGAATTCTGGAATAGGGATAAATTTTTAGGATTCACATACCCCACATGTTCTCGTGATGAATAAAAAACTCATCAATTAAACAACCACATTTTTCGACATCAGGTAAGAGATAACCTTAAAAAGTTTATAATCTCATATGTATCATATGTCGATCAAAGTATTCATATAAAGGCAACCAAATATGTTTAATGTTTATCATGTGCCGATCAAACTTCTCGTTAAATAAGGGCAACATAAATTTTTAAATTCAGGAACATAGACAACTTGTCAGGATTCATATACCCCAAATGTTCTCGTGATGAATACAAAACTCATCAATTAAACAACCACATTTTTCGACATCAGGTAAGAGATAACCTTAAAAAGTTTATAATCTCATATGTATCATATGTCGATCAAAGTATCCATACATAAAGCAAACCATGTTGTTTAGAATTCTGGAATAGGGATAAATTTTTAGGATTCACATACCCAACCAAGTTTTTCTGAATTGAAGGACAATAACAACATTGAAATGTTCAAGTTGGCAAAATTTTTCTTTTAGTGGGTAAAAATTTATATCATTAAGGCAATGATAACAATATCATACCATCTAAGTAAAATTGATCAAGGATTGACTCAAACATTCTAATTCAGCTAAGGGTCATTAACAGTTAACAATAGAAAAATATTGCATTCTCAAAATTCAAATTTATAGTAGCACCCACAAAAATAAACACGAATGCAAATATGACCACACACAACAAAGTCACACAAACAACCACACAGAGGGAGTGACAAAGATACAACCACAAATAGATAAAGACACAAACAGACACACAAACAAACACAATTTGAAATAAAGCACACATACAAAAATGAGGACAAACATAGAGACAAAGATAAATCACACAAGGACAAATGAGCAAAACCTTAGGCTGTCCATTACGATGGTGTCTTATAGGCTAATTTGTTTCAAATAAATAATTAATTCAACTACTAAATTAACTTATTTCATTTTAGCAATCAACATATTTCATGCTTAGTATAGTTTATGGACTAACTTATCATTTTTATTAAAAAATATACAAGTTAAGATGAATTTATATAAAAAGAAACATAAGTAATATATTAACCCATATTATTGTTCTAAAAAATTAATATTTTAGCAAAACTTAAGATAACCACATTTTCTATAAAAAAGGGAAGGGAGGGAGGGGCTTCTAGAGATTCTCTAACCTTTTGCAGTTTATATGCTGTCGTCTTATGCCACATGAGATGCAAAAACATTAAACCAAGGGGGGGAAAACCAAATTCTTCTGTCCTTTCATGGATTCATTTTATTTTCTCTGTCCAACAAAAAGTGAAACTCGCAAATGGGTTCCACTCTTTTTCCTCAAAATTCAACTTTCCCTCCAGGAGCATTGGCAGGAGCAGGGTAGCCATTACCCCTCCCTCCACTCTCCTCATCAAACCCATAATTACTCTGCCTGGGGCTCACATTCCTCCCTCCATTGACCATGGAATAAAAATCGGTGTGGTTAAAACTGGAGCCTCGCGGCGTGGGATTCCGGGAACTCTGGAGCGAGTAAATCTCGGCATTGGTCAAATTGGAAGGGCGTGGCGTGAGCGAAAGCGAGTTGGGGCCATGGGAGCGGCGAGAGAAAATGTCAGACCTGGAGCTGGTGGACTTTCGAACGGTGACATGCAACTTGCCATCGTCACCAACCTCAGCCTCAGTCTGAAGCGGCTCCTTCCCATCCAAACTGATAACATCAGAGTCGACCTTGAAGGAAATAATGGAGCCAGCGGTGTCGGGAAACTGCTCCACGATAAGAAGCCTGGCCCCTCGGTACTCGAACAGAAAGAGCATGAGGGTGTACCATATGATGCACTGGAGCACCACTATCTGAACCATGAGGGTCCCCGAGGCGTCGCCGTACATGCCCTTGAGCAAGGGGATTCCCATGACGAGCGTGTTGGGGAGCGTGGAGAGGGAGAAGAGCGTGATGGACCACTCCAGGGACCCTCTCGAGCTGGTCCTCGACCAGAGGAAGAGCACGCCCAGGACGATGGCTTTCTGCAGCGAATCCGCCGCTATGAACTTGTAGTTCATGGCGTAGGGGTTGTTCGCCGCGATGAAGTGGAAGGAGAGCAGGGGGACGGCGAAGAGCGCCACGAAGCGGTTTATGCCGGAGCATTGGTCCGGCGTGAAGATCTTCCACCACTTGACGGAGCCGTAGGCCAGGATCATGGCCACGTAGAGTGGTACCACGGCGGTCAGCACGTGGTAGAGGTCCAAGGCTGTTATCATTTTCAGAACAGAAGAAGAAGAAGAAGAAGAAGAAGCTCAAGACAGAACACAAGTGAAGTGATGAAGCTCCTTTTGTTTATGACATTGTCGTCGTGGGAGACAAGGGAGTAAAAGCTGTGGGATTTTCCCAACCTTTTATAACTCTTTTCACTTGCAATGCAAAGACTGAAAAAACCTTCTCTTTGTTTTTTCTTTTTTTTATTTTCTTTTTTGGGCGAATGAAAAGTGGGTTTTATGAGAGGGAAAGGACGAGGGCATCGCAGATAAAGGGAAGGGAGGGAGGGGCTTCTAGAGATTCTCTAACCTTTTGCAGTTTATATGCTGTCGTCTTATGCCACATGAGATGCAAAAACATTAAACCAAGGGGGGGAAAACCAAATTCTTCTGTCCTTTCATGGATTCATTTTATTTTCTCTGTCCAACAAAAAGTGAAACTCGCAAATGGGTTCCACTCTTTTTCCTCAAAATTCAACTTTCCCT